GGTTTTGAAGAGGCAGGAATAAAATTTCACGTAAGACTTTGGACATCTGCTTATTTACCACAATCCTATACATTAATACAATACATACCACTTTCTGTATTACAAAAAGCACTCAACAGCCATGATGACGCGAGCCATGTAGCTTGTAAAAGCGCTTTGAATGTGGTCGGGAAGACTAGAAAGCCATATACAAGTACAGGCATTACCATTTACCAAGTCGGATTCTCTTGAAACCACTCGTGGTCGTCTTCTCCTCATAACTCCTTTATGAATTCTCCCCTTACACTTTTTCCTTGAACCTTCGTGACCGTTCTTCCCATACCAAAAAGGTCAAAAGACAGTGGTTAGGAAAGGCTAAAAAGCAAATTTTATTCACTATTTGACCGCATTTCCTAGACTCTGGTGGTATGTCTGTCAGGAGTGTTATGTATGTCAGGGCAGAATCTGGACATACGGAAATCATTCATTTTAAGGCTTAAAGTTATGATAATTAACAGTGTGGGACCGTTTGATTTGGAACAGGTGGGTGTCAGTTACAGATACCGGCATCATTCGGCCGCCCGCCTTAGATCACCCGCTGACATTTGTTGCCGACCAAACTATTTAGTCTAAGTCCCGGAAAGCCAGAATGTGATAGAGCTCACAGACCATGCGCAGGTGGCCATTACGCTGAAAGTCCCGCAGTGAGAAAAGAGTATTCTTTTAGCCATACAAAACATACCAATGCACGAATTTACAGTGATGGCTTCGTATATGGGCTACTATTACGGTATGCTATCGCTTGTTAGAGATACAGTGGCTTAATACGTATTTAACAGGTGCGAGAAGACAAGATGCTTTTGTCTAGCAAGCACAAAAATAAATGCAAGAATTGCATAGTGGATGGGCAGCGTTATATGTATATTGCACGGAGTAGATTTTGTTGTCTAGAGATACGGTCTTTAGTAAGCACAGCTCTTAAGTGTTGACAAAAGTAATTTTTTACAAAGCAGCGCAGGCGCTAAATGTAAAAGATTTACTAGTGTTGGCTTGTATATATATTACGGGTATATTTTTGTTAGCAGCGGCAGATACGGTGTTAAATACATTTAACAGTGAGGAAATGTATTTTTTACAAAAAATAAATGCAAAAATTACAGTGATGACTTGTATATATATAACGGTAATATTTTTGTTACAAAACACGGTGCCAGTGATATTTTACAGTGGAGTTAAATGTATTTGTCTCCCCCAAAATAAACTGTCAAAAAATTACTCGTTTTTGGGCTGATAACTAATACATTTACGGTGTTTCATTGTTTACTAAAATGAATTTAAACCATTTTTTACGGTCTTTTACTGTCATTGTTTAGCAGTTTTTCACCGTAAAATCTACAGACATTTTTTACAGTGTAAGTTCACATACAGCATTATTCATTTTTTTCCCTGCACCCCTCTTTGTCTCCCTTTGATTTAGTCCTCTTTTTTCTATTAACACATGTCATCACCTTATTACCATTAAATATAGTGTCAGATCAAAGGACCATTTGTGTTGAAGACCTCAGCCTTTCATGTGTGATTTACAGCAGTATGTAAATAGGATAACAGATGTGTTTTTGGTTGGATGTATTAAAAGGTAGGCTATATAAGGGAGAGCATTCTGGAAGTAGGGAGAGAACATCTATGCTGTGGTCTTCTGTCCATGAGTAAAGGGACTTGATTTATCACACTAGGTTCGTAATTATTCAGAAAACTAGCAACTCTCAATATTATGGAAGAATATTTTATTGTATTTATGTCTTAATGGATGTTTTACTACATTGTGATCTTTTAGGCTTTTATGTCACATGCATTCATGCATGGATGCCCATAGAAGGAAGCATCTCTATATAGAGTGCAGCAGGGTTGATGTATTTTTGTAGACCAGCCCAGAAGTTAGCAGCGCCAAAGGGATTTTTCAATTGGATTTTGGATTATTGAACAAAGGTTTTTAATACTTGCACATCTTGTTAAGCAAAGTAATCCTCAAAAATGACCACCACATGTGACCAATAAACTTCCAACTTGTAATTACATCATGGAATTAAAATATTCAGGTTGGAAAGTTTGAGGTGGACTAGGTAAGTCTCAGACTCATGCACACACAGGGTGCAACACTTTCATATTGGTGAATGAACTTCCAGTACATTTTGCTATGTATAATAACTGACCAGAAAGCAGGCTCAAAGTATCTCAGAGTAACATTAACACAAATACAGTAATGTGAGATGAATGTTCTGTTCTCTCTGCAGTTGGTAGGCGGGGCAGCCAATGTTCCACAGCTCCGACGCCACAAGAGGGACTGGGTAATCCCAACAAACAAGCTTAAAGAGAACTTTGACTACACTACAGCAGGTTATGTTGCCAAGGTAAGGTATTAACCATTATCATGTCATCTCTGTGTTGTCAAATTGTGTGTCTCTTAACAGCAAAGGTACATTTAAATATCTCTATTGCTATCAGGGATCAACTTGGTAAACCCTACATTATGCCATAGGTCAACTGTTAATCAGCCTAGATCTTCTATGGGAGATGTTTGCCTCATGACAATGATTAATTGGACAACTTTGTTGATGGATTTTAGTATTGACAAAGTCTCCATCCTGCTGCAGCTTCTCACTGGATTTAAAGTCCTCAAGTCATACATCAGTGTTTCTTCTTGTTCCTACAGTGTGATGTTTGATGAATGTCTGTGCAGAGTTTGACACTTGAAGGATGTTTTCACATTCATCTGCTGAAAGTGGAAAGTTTCTCTGTACTCATTGACAATCTGATTAAAATAAATTGTCAGCAGCTTCAGAAAAGTTGGACTGAGTTATTTAACATTGTCCCCTTCTATTAACACAAGTCAGTCCGTTTTTTTGTGTGTGTGTGTGTTTTATGATGCTATTTCTATGTTGCAATATACTGGGATAAGCACTAGTGGTAAACTACTTTACCTCAATTATGCAAATAAAACTTGATTCCATTGAAGTCTGGTTGACTTAGGAAGTACAGTAATGCTTTCTCAGTGTAGGGGCCAGAGTTAGATGACCTTCTACTTTTCTTATCCTCAGGGTATAGGATCAATTGCAAGTTAATCTTTGCTACGCCACACCCAACAGGGAAGATTCACTGCAAAGTCACAAGCTGTGCAGATTTAGGCAGAATGCGATGGAAACTACCACAAAGACAAGTAGTCTATTGTGTCCCTCATTTGTATTTTTGTGCAGACTTTCTTAAAAACATTATAAACGTTGCTAATTACAACTTACAGCACAGATGAATGTGCTTACTGGCTGTATTAAAATATGTATTATTGATTAGATTGTTGTGCTACACCGCTGCTAACAATCCTGTTAGCTTCCTTACTTATTTGGCAGAGCTCTGACAGAGAAAGGAAAAATAACATGCATGAGGGCTCTTGCATGAGGGAGCAGCGAGCTGAATGGCAGTAGCAGAGTGTAGTGCACTGTTTGGTTTGACCAGTTTGACCAGTTTGGTTTGACCAGTTCCTGGACGTAGGATTGGCCTGAACTATTCACACCATTGCAGGCAAGTGTCTTGAATCGGATTTGAGCAGCCACCAGTAGCCAGTGCAGTCTGCAGAGGAGCAGTTTATTGTGAGAGAACTTGGGCTGGTTAAAGACCAGCTGAATTGCTGCAGAGGTCTGATGGCAAAGTCAGGCACACCAGCCAGGAGGGAGTTGTAGTAGTAGTAGTAGTAGTATATTTCGATACTGTAAGCAAGGCGATGTATTGCGATTTTCTAATATTAGGAAAACTGTCATAATATAAAGAAAACACCACCATATGCAACTTTTTTATGCAACCAGAACAGTAGAATCTGTGTTGGTATTTATCAGCAACATCCAATATATAGCCCTTAGTTTACCCTAAACAAGTACATGCAGTACCCTTTTCTTGCAGCCGAGTAACCTCTGATTTGTGCCCGATGCTAACAATCTAGCTTTTCAATCTTATTTCAGTAGATGAATGTTAAAACATCCTTCTAGTGTCAAAC